CAACATTCTCATGTAACAGAAGCATAAACGTATCTGGAACACTGATATTATTTGGTTAGGCGCTCCTTAACACTACTTAAAATCGTTTTTTCCATTTCTCTTTTCAGTAAATCACTGCATTTTACCATAAATTCTCTCACACATTTTCCATAGAACCTCTCTCATTTCTTTTCCTTGAAAACACTTGCCATTGCCTTTCTACTGATTGTATTAAAAACATATTACGTCCTTGTTTTGGGGATTTGGGTGGAAATGATTAAAACTATTTTAAGTAGTGTTAAGGAGTGCCTAACCAAATAATATCAGTGTTCCAGATACGTTTATGCTTCTGTTACATGAGAATGTTGTACATTTTACTCATAGGATAATAGAATAATAGTATCACTGTCATTTCTTATTCCTTTTGATCTTACTCAGATGCTCTCAATAGAGACATGAACTTCTTCACAGGTATATGATTCTTTATATACATCCCTCTCTCCCTTTTTGATATGTTTTGTTATGGGTCCCATCCCACATATCTATGATACCTATCAAAAAAATTTTTTTTCATTTCTAGCTCCTCCATGGATTAGTGTACAGATTCTAGAATTGGCTATTTACTGATCTCCCTTTTGCTTCATTATGAAGGTCTTGAATACCCTTTTTTGTCTTGTGTTACACTGTCATACACAACCATGGCTAGGTGAGCTCTCGTGCTGATGTGATTTTTCATGATCGGAGAGTATTGTTTTACCTCTGGCATTAGATGTTATTGGTTGCAGATTTGGTTTGAATCCATGTGTGCTGCCTAGAGTTGTTGTGAGACGGTGGTCATATGAATTATGTAAGCAAATAAATAAAGATTCTCAATGCCAAGAACTTTTCTACTGAGTCTGTGTTTCTGTCTCCTTCTTTTGGTTTAATGTAATGCCTTCCAGATAAGGCTCGTCAAACTTTCACTAAATACATTTTCCCAGTATTAAGAATTTTTGCCTTACATCTCCATATCAGGTAAGAATGCATTTCTGAACACAGTTATTTCATTTCTGAAAATTATTTCAACCTTTTCATGTTTAAAATGGTTTCCAACTTTTGTAAAACATTGCAGCCTTCTCATCACTCAATGAGAATAAAATTTATGCATTTCTTAAAAGAACAGGCTTTGCTAAATAGAGACTCTGCAGTTAAATTCTGAAGCAGCATAAATGCAGACACAGAATATAGATTCATTTTTAAAACTATACAAAATTTTAAATTGAAAATAATTGTTTACATTTTCTTTATACATTAACATACAAAAGACCTCATTTTATGAGGTACTAAGGAATCAAAACATTGCTACAGCTATCTGAAAATTCTAATCTGAAAACAATTTATTACACTGAAGCTTTACAAGGTTATACTAAATATAACAACTCAATACACCCTTTTTACAAGATCAACATTTTTCTACACTCCTCGGGTCTTTAGTTTTTAAGGCAGTTTGGAGGACTGGCTATCCAATTGCATTATAAAATTATATGAATTGCTTGATAACCAGGTTTTTAGTTTAAATTGTGCAAACCAATCAGTGGAAAGTATTACCAGTTATTTGTGTGAAATATCTTAACTAAAAAAACTTTTAGTCTTTTCTATTCCTTCATTCATGTACTTTTATAAGTTATAATAAATTAAATATTCCAAAGATATTAACTGATTTACAGGGATTCCCAGTATCCACAAGTGTACAATAGTAATCTATTTGCTATTACTCCTTCAGGTATTCTATTATCCTGCTATTTCTCAAACACAGGAATATATATATATATACTGCTTTATCAATTAGCACACTGTTCAGAGGCTAAAATAAAAAAGCTATTAAGTCACAGTATGAGCAATCATGGTTTCCAATAAGAAGAAATTACTAATATGATCCCTCAACTGTGTCATATTAGTTTTACTGTTTTCAAAAACTTCTAGTATAGTTGCCAGTAAACTATGTGCTGCAAAAATGTGTTGCAGCCACATTTAGTTTTTCCTTTTATGAAAACGTGTCTGCATAACTTTCAGTTTAAAACAACAAACACACACACATTACAACTAAAGTTTAGCTGTTAAAACAAGATAATATTATGTGCATAGCAAGTGATGAAGTCCATAGCAATGCTGGTAATTTTATGCTGGTTTCTTCAGAAGTAGTACAAACACTCTCAAAATATCTTTTCTTCCTTTGTCTTCCAATTGGTAGAATATTTGGTAAAGCATATACACCAAGTATTTTCTTCTACTATACTCTGTACACTTGGAGTATAAATGTTTCTCTCAGTCTCTGTTAGTGTTATTTGCAGCAAAAGCATGTAAATTTCCCATTTGGCTGAGGCCACTCTGGATATGTGCAACATGGATCTCTACATTATTCTGGAAACAGCTAAAGAAAGAAAAACAGTTATTTTTAAAACAGTCCACATGCAAATGTATTATGTGCTTAGATACATGTTCTAAGTTTATATACAACATTTCGTGACGTCAGGCTATATATTTGCCTATTTTGGTATAATTTTAGGCAATTTCATGAAAAGAAACCATATTTCTCAACATCAACCATGAAAGAAAATCATGTCTTTTAACACAATGAAGAGCAAACATTATTCACTTGAAATAGTTTCCATGAATTGAGTAAGAGGCTGGTCTAATGAAGCGGAGGCAGTTGGTATATTCCATCAGGCTGGATAATTTCCAACTGGTCTCTAACTTTCCCCTTTTTTGGGAAGGTGGTGGGACTGCAGCTTTAGAGTGCCCTGGAAAAAGCAGTTTATTGAGATGCTTTTCAATGGGATCTTGGACTTGAGAGATAGCATTTATTAATTTTATAAATGATATTTGGCAGGACCAGGGTAGGGGTAGTGCCACTTTCCTGCCCTGTTTGATCTTTTGGTGGCCTTTGATACTAACATTATAGTATTCTTCTAAAATGTCTGAGGATTGGAGCAGAAAACATTGTAATAGTACTAATTTCATCATGCTGGTATTGGTAAAAGGAAAAAAGTGAGACTTAAACATCTGTTTTGCAGGGTTCCTTGAAGTTTAATACTTTCCCCGTTTCTGTTTAATATAATATGAAGCTACCAGGTGTGGTCATCTACTACTATAGAGACAGTTATTATCAATATTTAGATGACGCCTAGTGATATATCAAGACCACTGACAACTGATTCTTTTGTGGCACTATCCAGGTTTTGGACACTGTTAGGATTTGAATGAGGAAGAAAAGGTTTAGGTTCAAACCAGCAAAACTAAATGTCTGTGGATTCATGAGATCTCTATTATGAGTATCTTTTCAACTTTGGTACTCAGTGGGATAGCACTTTTTAAAAATAGAACTGGCACATAGTTTCTGGGGTCCTCCTGCACTTATAGCTCATGCTCAAACAGATGAAACTTTTGACTGGAGGGCTTCTAAACAAATCCACCTTGTGTTCCAATTGCACCCTTTCCTGATTGGGAGGTCTTGTTCACAATCACTCATGCTTAGTCATCTTGTGTTTGAACTATACTAACAAACTCTACATGGGGCTGCCCTTCATGACTACTAGGAAGCGTCAACTGGTCCAGAATGTACAAGGAACCTTAGATTACCCAAGTAACATCTCTGCTCTATGAACTACACTAGTTGTCAGTTTTTTTCAGGTGTTAGTTGACATGTATAAAGCGTATCTCAGGGCCTAGATATCTGCAAAATTATTTTTCTCCAATTATTGTTAATTGCTCCTTAATAGGGTGGGCAGATTCCAGGTGTTAATTGATAAAATTATGTCATCTTGTGGGATCTCAGACATTTGCTTCTTTCAAGGCTGTTCATTGGAATGGCAATCCCTCAAAGTTCATACAACCCTGACCCTGCTTATATGACTTTTCAGCATGTTCTGGGCAGAGCAATTTGTGACACCCTCACTGATATATATTTATTAAATTTATAAGGCTAATTGTCCCAAAACCACAAGGAAGTATACAACACAAGTTAAGAATACAATATGACAATATGAAGAGAACTAAATAGCAAACATTTGTCCAGGGAATATAAAATTGAAATAGTCATACATACATATTAGTGAGTCCACAAAATCACAGAGCCCAGGACTTGCTGAAAGAGCCAAGTCTTCATAGCCTTCCTGAAGGAAACCTGGACTTGGAAGGAACTGATATTGGGATGAATTGCTATTAATTTTTGGTGCTATGATATTTCCTTCTGTGATATGGTTGTTTAACAAGGTTTGGGTTATTATTTTTTTACTTTTTAAAAAATATATTGTACTTAATTTATATAATGCATTGTACCACATTTAGAGTCACTTTGTGATTAATGCAACATATAAACTGAGAAATATGATCATCTCATCATGAAATAGACTTACATGCTACTACGTTTCTTCTTCCATCTACTAAGTGGTCTACATTGGTATACAATGGTGATGTCTTTGAAAAGATTATTGTAAATATAAGGATATCTGATACAATTTTAATTTCAAGTTCTTACCTGATATTAGTAGAATCTATAGAATTCTTAATGTCATTCAATGAATCTGTTAATGACTTAAACTCAAAGGAATTTAGATCACCTCCTTCTGCTAGACACTGGAAGAAATTTCACAGAGATAATTATGTAAGTTTTCTGTTGTGTACTGCTTACATACATGTGTACACCAAAAACAGAGAAACATGGACAGGGTGAGGAAGCCATCCCCAGGNCCATAAAGGCTCCTGGTCTGTGCATCAAAAGCCTTGCAAAAATTGTGCCTATCCAGAAAGCAGCAGCAAGAAATCTTGAGCTGTACCCCATGCTAAAGACAAAGGGTACCTAAACAGAGATTAATCAATGGTCCCAATGCATGTTTGCTACATATTTATGATACACGTTACCCACACAAGAAAAATGATACACCAAGAAGAACAGAAGGGGAACAATTTAAGAAACACTTCACCTACTGCATGCCCCTCATGAGAAGTGGAAATTTTTATAGATGCAGCTGGCATGGAAAAGCAGGAGGTCAAAAAGCATGACATTTGTACCATCCTTATCCTAGGCGGGCATACTGCTACCATAAACATTTGATTGGTCCATTAAAAAAAATTAAGAATCTTATCCTTCCTCACTTAGAGACTGCCTTCTTCCCCTTGTACACAGGCAATTTGCACTCCCACAGCACTGACAAGGCTGTGTTTTAGAAAGCTAGTGTGGCCATCACAGCCTCGAGATGCTTGTGGCAGGTGTAGGCTATAAGCCCTCCTTGATTTGCCCAGCGGTCAGCACCCACAGCGCCCTCTATGGGCTTGTTATAGGTCAGTTCGGGCAAATTCTTGCGTTGCCCAGCACGCCAAAGCCGCAGGGCTGCTGAAAGATCGACAATGCCTCCCCCGAGGGCTCGTAGAATGGCATGGGGGCCACATGAATCCCACTTGAAGGTGCTGCCTTCTGAAAGCACATAAGCATCAGCAAGGCCGAGGGCGACACAGAGCATCTTGTAGCCAGCGCCTGAAGCAAAGCAGAACCTCTCACCGTAAAGAGGGGCCAGCGTTTTCTGCAACGTGCCAGTCCCATTGCTACTCAGCACCACGCAGGGGGAAGACCGCTGCTGGGGTTGGCTCAGCGAGCTTAGCTTGGTGCTTCCATAGCAAATGCCCCAATGGTATTTGCTCTGCCACCTGCCAAAGAGAAAGAGTCAGGGTAGCTTTGCTAGGAAAAGNTGAGTTTGACAGCCCTGCTGTACGTTGTCAGCCATGTCTCACCCTCGACCACTCTGGAGCTCAGCACTGTACATTTATACATAAATAAGTCAAAACCCCAAGAGGACATCATACGTCCCTTATCCTTATGTCTGCTTTATTTTGTATTTAGCAAACAACTCAGTTTCATCTGCAGGAAATAATTATGATACCCAAACAATGACATGTTGGTGATGTTGACATATAAATATCATTAAATACTTACAATCCTGTTATCTGATACCAAGAAGTTAAGTCTTGGTATTTGAGTAATGACATCCTTGTGCGCATTCTGTCATTTGTCCTCTTTGTATTTGCCCATATTTAGGCAAAATGCTATTTTTCATTTATTTCTCAATAGCCTGTTGAAAAGCAAAACTTAGGTAGCATACAGCCCCATTCCACTTTGTAAATTTTGCTTCTTGCAGCCTTTGCTACTCACTCCATTAGAATTCTGCCAAATGTCTTCCTAGGACATCAGAGAAACTAACCCATCTGTAGTTTTTGCATTCACTCATTTTATCTTGTCCTTTTTGGTGGAAAACAGTAACCATATTCTTTTCCAGTCCTGAGGCAAGGATGCAAGCTTTACACCCGATCATAGTGTCTTTCCACATGTAAGTTTTGTGGAAGTATTACGTGAATGTTAACAAACTTTAACATTTCTTGTTATATGGTTTTTGCTCTTCTGTCAGGCTTCACCTGACAGGCACTCAGGAATCAAATATATAAGGATACCAGGACTCACGAACTGCAGTTAAATTAGTTTATTGTATAAGAAACAGTAATGTCATTACAAAAGATTTTTGGCAATTGCTGTTTTTTCCCCAAACCAGCCCCAATATTTAGGTATTCACTGATTTATCTCGCTGATTGTCTTCGACTACCTTCAAGCAACTGATGTACTGCGCCTCCTTTTTGGCAGGAGGCCCAGTTTCTATCTGTCTCTTATTTAAATAATATAGAGTTGGGATGTGAGATGTCTCTTTCATTCTGTGAGAACTGCTTCTTATACCTGCAGCCTCACCAGTATTTTCTAAACCAATTCTTTCTGGGACACAAACATTTTTTGCATTATTTCAATTTCTTGGATAAACTATGGTTAAATCATGGCCAGTGAAGCGGATGTCATTCTTAAGTCAAGTTATAAAGGTGCATTGATGACAGCAGGTGTAGCTGTGGAGGATAACTAGACTCTTTTCCTGTGGTTATATACTGTTTATTTATTATTATGATTAAAAAAGCAGCTCAGCTAATGGAGTATTTTGCCAATGGCTTTATAATGGCCATCCTAAAATAACCAATTTTAAATTAATTACCATAATAGAATAATAGAAACTAAGCTAAATACTTAATATTTTCAAAAAATGTTTATTATAATATTATGCTACCTAATATACCAGATAAAGTGTCTGGAAAAAATATATTAGATAAAAATCTGGAAAAAAGTGCTGAGAATGGTCTGTACAATTTCAATCTCAGATATTTTCTACTATTTTAAAAAAAATCACTACAAGTTCTTTATAAAAAGTGAAAATATACTTTACGAAATCAGTACATTGTAATGATGATTCATAGTCCATTTCTAACTTTAAATAATTATCTACATTAAATCTATAATTTGATTTAACTTTCATTTAATGAATATAATCCCAATACCTGAATTTAACAGTTTATGTTTTTGGTTTATAAGGGTTAGTTAGATGCCAAGGAAGTTTGGATGGCAATAAAGAAATGTTTGGCTGAACGCTGTCCTGCCTCCTTCCCTTCCTCTCTAATCGAAGACTTAATGTTTCTTTTGTCATTTGCAGAATATATTTTTTTCTAAAGAGTGTTTGTTTAAAATATATATTTAATGAATATGTGTAGTACAAGACCCTCGGGTAATTGCTTGGATTAATTTGAAAGAATTTTCATCACACCTGATTGCAAAAGATAGATTACAAATTCATAGTGTAGAGGCCTGGGAGAAAATTTCCCAAACTGCAGTATATATATACACATATAGCAATTTTGTTTATATTCATTTGCCATGACTTTTTCCCCAGAGCTTCCCTATTAAGAGATCCCATCCCAGGTCCCCTTCCAGAGAACTTAAAATTCTTCAGTTTCCTCTAAGGGAAAATGCCTTTAGGTTAAATAAAGGGACTCCTCACAGTGTTAAAAGCAATCCAAAGGCTAATTAACACTGCTTCTTAACATGAAGCCGGATCATAAGTCCCAGAG